ACACCCTGGTAGGGAGAACACTATCTCCTCCACTTGGTGGCGACACTGAATTGTAGTGCTCCCTCTTGCAGTTTTTTCTAGAAAAACCCTTGCTGATCACATAGATAGATTGCCCATTCATTGCCCATTCATCATGCATGATCGCATATTTTTACCATCACAGTGGCGATCGATCTACAAAATAATTTTTTCTTTTTTTTAAACGGTCTAATACAATAAATGGGCGATGTGATGAGTGTGTGTGTTGGGCAAAAGTGAGAGTGTGGAACAGTTAACTTAAAAACAACTATAGTGCATTATTGTATTGCACTTGTGATTGGAATAACTGCTGGCAATAAGATCAAGACGGGTAATTCTCCAGTCAGGCTTGAAAGTTTACTAAATAATATGTTCGGATGAAGTTGAATCTTATTCTCTATTGATTAATGGTGGAACGAAGAATGCAAGTATCACTGCATATCATTTATGACAGCAGAAATTCATTCTCTCGAATGCAGATCGTCTCATTTATGTGTGTGGTTTGTGAAGGTGTGTGGTAACTGAAGTACGCCCTCAATGTTGAAGCTCTCTGAAATAAACGTTGATGTTGAATTTAGACACAGTTCAACAATTGATTGACTTTGGTTTAGACAATGACACTGACATCCATTATATTACCAAGCGATGTTACTGTTTGATTTGCCTGAAATATTCCCGTGAAATATTGTCCGCATTTTACCAACAAATGGGTTTAAATTTCAACTTAATCTGATACAGTGTGAGTAGGTTTATGGAAATGTGCCGACAATAAGATGGTGATATCTCCTGCATTCAAGTGATCACATCTACACTACCCACACTAACAATTTCAACATCCTGTCTTGTTACAGCTTTAGTAGGGGGCGGTGTCTCCAACACACGTGCCACTAAAAGTGCATCGATGATATCACTGTATATAATTCACAGTTGAAAAATAAAACTCACCGTTTATCAAATACCGTTGTTTAAAAGTCTGATTACGATTGCTCGCATAGTTAAAGTGGTCAATATACTGGTCGTGATATCTTTCTTCGTAAATTGACTTGCTCGTGACGAGAGTTAACAACAAATTGACGGCGAAAATGTAAACACTGCTCAAAACAGCCGCCATCTTGTATAGTGACTGAAAGTAGTGTAATATTATGCGTTATGTATTTCATTTGAGTTGTTTGTTGTTTATGTTTAATAAAATAAAATTATAAAAAAAATCTGAAATATGTCAACAATATCAACAAAAGCAAGGCCAGTCACTGTTTCACGTTTTTGTTTTATTTAATTAATACTGTCCGATCGGCCAAATCTTTGCAGTAATAAAAACAAACACTAGCATACAACGCAACGCTGGTGGCGTTCTGCATTAAACAGAACTTTGTTTACAACTGTATTGATATTTGTGAAAGGAACAAACTGAGTGATGCGAAGACGGCGACCGTGCCGCAAATTCCAAACAAGACGAAACAACCCGAGTAGTCCAGTGGGAATATACACATTGATTACATCGCAATGGAAACGAGACGAGAAGAGAGGTAGACTCCTGATTTTACGTGTAATTTATGCTGTTCAAATAAAATCTTGGTCGAACGCGTAACTCTTGTTAAGTGGCGGATTTAGAGAGGGCGCCCCTTTTTCACGGTCTTTATCACGTGATAAACACGTTTGGTTGTCAATGGTAACAATAAAATTGATTCGAATCTAATGTTATTTTAATCCCGTCTGACAACATCTGCTGCTCATATCGCCTCATTTTCTGTTTTGAAAACATACACCAACATATTCATGTAGTTGCAGTCATAACCATGTCCTCCGATTTTAAACTTAACTAATTTGTTCGCAGTAGGCATCCTTCTGAGGTTAATGGCATGAGCATCAATATTACACAAACTCCAGGAAAGCAATCATATTTCAATTATTTGAATTGTTAAATAATTTATATTTCGCTTCTATTGAAGTTGGTAATTATTAGAAAAATAAAAGAAAATCTGAAAAAAATTACCATAATGCCGTGCAAAAAACGAAATCAAAGACGAATCAAGCTAACTTAAGCGGAACTCCAAAATAAAAACGACACGTTGTACTACTTCCTTTATTCTAATGAGGCTATAAATGCACATAGTCTCACAAAAGTTCCCATGGTTTTCTCGTCCACCCCTGATTTATTTCAAAGGTCACGTAACCGTTCAGTTGCGATTTGCTAAATTACATCATGGCCCAACTATTTAAATGTTTACGCACATAGATTCCCATACAACGCTGGGTCCATTATCACTAATCATATAAACGGGACATTACAGCAACTGTCTGTCTGTCTGTCTGTCTGTCTGTCTGTCTGTCTGTCTGTCTGTCTGTCTGTCTATCTGTCTGTCTGTCTGACTGCCTGCCTGTCTGTCTGTCTGTCTGCCTGTCTGTCTGTTTGTGTGTCTGTCGGTCTATCTGTCTGCCAAGAAAACTATACTTCTATATAAACGAGGTAAAGGAGCGCAGCACCGATCGCCATTTTGTATGTACACCGCGCCGAGGACAACACATTTTCAATTTTGATTTTGTCAATCATTTGTATACTCACCCTGCTCGCTCGTATATAGTTGTCATTGTCGGTATACTGCCCTCAGCGTTACTTGTTAATATTATACACAGAGACACAAGCAGCTCGTGGGCACCGGCCCGAGGATGAATCGTAGTAGCGCAGCGACAAAAGCCTGGAAACGAGTATAGCTACATTGTTATTCACATATCAAAACAATTTTAATTTTTGTATAGATATGTAAAATTATTTATTGCACTTATGAAGGAAATAAAAATACGGGTCGCTTTGGGGAAAATCAAGGTACAGAGTGAAGCGTAACTAACAAGTTTTGTTTGTTTTAGGGTGATAAATTATTTTGCTGTGGCAA